ATTTTATCCCATTTTTGAATTGCTACTTAATATGCGATTCAGTAGTAGAAAGTGAACTACTGAAATATTCAGCTTAGGCCTATAGAGATTGCTGATTATTGAAATGCATGCGTGTGTGTGAATGTGTTCCAACATAACTTCTACCATTAATAGTGTGAACGTTACACACAAGTCGATATGTTACAGCATGGCACTACATTGAATGCTATCAAGCTACTGAAGTCCAGGAGGGCAGCAGGACCAGATGGAATTCCGCCACTGCGAAGCACTGAAAACGGACCCAGAGACTGTGGCAGATGTTCTCGCGCCATTATCACCAAAAGGTTTTGAAAGAAGGAAACGTACCTACCGATTGGAAGAAAAGCTGGCTACCTCGTCAAGCTGCCAAAGAAGGGCGACTTAAGCCCGTCTCCATAGGTACTGGCGTGGAATCATGCGCTTGTCCACCAACTCCAAGTAAAATACTAAGTCGCATCATCCTAGAGAGAATGAAAGATGCACTGAATGGAGAACTCCGCCACCCGCCGGAACTAGCTGACTGGATTCAGGAAAGGCAAATCACGTGCTGATCAAATTGCAACTCTACGTATCGTCATCGCGGAACAAAGCATATAATGGCAGTCACACCTCTCTCTCTCTGCATCGACTTCGACAGCGTTTACCGTACTGGGAAGTAATTTCGAAACTACTTCAACACTTCGGCGGTAAGTGCCCAAGTCTTTATCAACCTCATTCAACAGCTGGCTATATGACAATGCTATGTGTCAGGTGATCCACAACGGAAAACTCAGCGAGGCGTTCGAAGTGAACACAGGAGTAAGACAGAGGTGTCTATTATCACCGATGATATTCTTAATTGTGACGGACTGGATTGTGCATCAGACTGTGCATGGGAGTAAGAAGACAGAAATACGTTGAACAGAAAAAGGGACTCTAGGAGATCCGGATTTTGCAGATGATTTATGTTTAACAGGTGGAAGCCAACGAACTGGCAGAAGAAGTAGGCAGTGAAGACAGGACTACATATGAAGTGAACAAGGAGAAGAAAGAGGTGGTGAATATAACGAACCAACCAACAGCAACAACAAAAACCAGCACCAACTGGAGAGATTTAACAGAGGTTACCTCCTTCACTTATCTAGCAAGCATCCTTTCAGCTACAGGTAGATCGGATGAAGAGATCAAAGCCAGTCAGAATCGGAAAGGCTAGATACGCCTTCATCAACCTGAAACCAGTTTGGAGATCTTTTGCACTCCCCCTCAACATGAGGAACAATATTCCGATTTTAAACACTTTTGTGAAGTCAGTCCTTCTATACAGGTCAGAAACTTCCCCGGCGTTTCGCGAAAAGGATTTCCAAGGGCTTGTTGCAGACTTTCATCAACATCTGTCCTCTTCGCTGGCTGCATACTGCAGATCCAGTGGCCAGCTGGCTAGAGAGAATAAGCGACAAGTAACTCAGCAGTAGAACAAACCAACCAAGAGTCGATCACTCAAAAATATTTAGGAGAAAATGGAGATGGATTGGGCATATGTTGAGACGGTCTAATGACATTGAGCGCAATGCAGGCTATCTCTCGAGTGGACTCCCAATTGGAAGCAAGAGTGTTACTATCATTAATTGATATATTTGAATAAAATTGGTCCATTTCACACAAATGTACCAATAAAATTGTAGTAACTGTTATCGATATCAAAGAGGTTGAGCTTTAATGTCTAGGTATTGTTGGTATTCCCTTAGTTCTCTATTGTGTGTAACAGTGTCCCTTTGTCTTCGCTGACACAGAATCACACAAACACTTATTTCTGATATGATTAGTATATGGTTTATTACAATGAGATTAGTCTGCTAGGTTTAAGCTTCTTCTAATAATTCGATACAATGAACTCAATTCTATGCAAGTGTTTTTATTTCTAACAGAAGACAAAACTAAGCGGAATGATATCAGTTAATGCGCATTTGTCAGTGTTTTTACAAGTTCAGATCTATCACCCAGCTGGTGCTAAATCAAAATAAACATACGCATACGCAGTTTTTCTTTGTTGTGTCATATACAGATATAGTACAGGGAACCATACTTAAATTGTGTCTACTGACAACAGCTGCATGCATTGATCAAATCGTAACACTACGTATTATCACTGAACAGAGCTTGCAATGGCAGTCAGCTCTCTACCTCACTCAACTTCATCGACTTTGAAAAGGCCTTCAGCAGACATCGTCAATCGAGAGGTGATTTGGCGACTACTTCGCTACTACAGTGTGTCGCCAACAAGTATATACCTCATCCAACAGTTGTACGATAATACTGCATACCAAGTAATCCACAACAGGAAACTTACAGAATCCTTGGAAGTGAAGACGGGAGTTGGTTGTCTTCTATCTCCAATGATTTTCCTGATTGCGGGCTGTAGACTGGATGATGCGACAGACAGATGGTGGGCAACGAGGAAATAGGCATAAAATGGACCCACACAAAAACGTTGGAGGATCTGGACTTCGCCGATAATGTGCGTCTGATTTCCCACAGACTGGAAGATATGCGAGTGAAAAGTAACAAGTTGGCAGAAGCATTCAGAGAAGATAGGACTTCCTTCAGGTGAACATAGAGAAAACAGAGTTGATGAAGACCCCTGGTCAGCAGCAACATCAATCAGCCAGCATAAATAAGAGAGATCTGAAAGAAGTAACCTCATTTACCTACCGACCTGGGAAGCGTTGTCTCAACTACAGGTGACGGAACTGATGAGGATATCAAAGCAAGGATTGGAAAAGTAAGGCAAGTTCTCATTACTCTCAAGTCTATGTGGAAGTCAACAGCACTCAGCATGAAATACAAGATCCGGAATCTCAACTCCCATGTGAAGTCAGTGCTGCTAACCATAGGGATCAGACACTTGCACTGTGCGTCACGGGGGGCACTTCGAACAAGCTACAGACTTTCATCAACAGCTGTCTTCGCTCAGTACTGCTCCAGATCAGTTGGCCGGACATGGAAGATCAGCAACAGGGTGGGATCTCTGGCAATGAACGAACCAACTCTGCAGGAACCAGTTGCACAAAATGTGTAGGGTAAAATGGAGGTGGATTGGCCATACTCTGAGGAAAAGAAACCATCGAGTGAGTGACATCACACCCCAGGCCATTAGTGGAGTGGAGCCGAATGGGAAGCGGCGAGTTGGTTGGTCGTCAATGCAAGGGTGACATGGAGAAGGAGGTTATGTGAAGAGGAGATGAAAGCATGTGGGCAGATGTGGAGCCAGGTGAAAACGTTGGTGGAGAACTGAACGTTATGGTTACGTTTGGCTGAAGCCCTATGTTCTTCTAGGAACTAAAGGAAACAATATACTGACAAGAGCTTATCTAAAGGCTCATAAAGGATGTAATTGTGAATGATAGGATCAGTGACTAGGTTAATAATTCACTCTGTACCTCAACTTTTTTGTTTCATTCATAACTGTAGACAATCAATTTGCCTATCATTTATTATTTATTTGAAACACAGAACCTGGTACAGTAAAGGAATCAAGAAGATGCGCCACATAATAATATTAGGATAATAGGGAGAAAATGAATAAAGGACTTCATCCAGAAAGGAAGCGAATACATTTAACAAGGCGAAACAGCATCCCTTGTATTCCTGTCAAAATTGGAAGAAAGAAGGAAATCGCAGTTCGTTCGTCATTGGTTGCGATTCTTGTCCATATCTGATAACGTTTCCAGCCAACTGTCTCTCGAACGCCAACCGATGCTTACCTAACGCAAACATCCATTCCATAACGCCATGTCATAGGTCGGCCACCTTTCCGCTCTTTCCAACAAGTCCCAGGGCTAGCGAACAAAAACCTGTACGTTAGCCTCTGGGATGAAGTTCTTAGCACATGTCTAAGCCACTGAAGCTGGTATTCCCAGAAGACGGCACTCAATGAATGGTGATCTCCAATGTGTCCAGACACACGCTGCCTGACTCTCGAATTACTCACACGAAAATGCCATCGAACGCAAACAGTTCTACGGTGACAGAGATTATCAAATAGGAAGAGTTGCCACTCACCCTTATCTAGGAGAGGCTGGGCTTCACAAGCGTAGAGCAAGACCTGCGCGTACCGAAGCATTGTAAACCCGATATTTGGCTGGTAGGCTAACGTTACGACGGCTCCAGATGTGGCTCAAATTGGCGTATATACCACTCTAGGTTTCATGATACGCTTAGAAATCTCGTTCGTCTTACCTCCTCAAACACACGAACTTATTGACAACATCAAGTAGTTCACTTAAAAGAATGAATGCAGGTACAGGCTGTCGCCAACCTGGTAACGGTACTTTGCACTCAGACGGTACAAAGCACATACCATACTTACAGGTACTAATCACCAACTGATCAAGTGCGATTTGGGCAGCCGGCATGCTGTCGCACACTAAGACGTTATCGTCTGCATACTGGAGATCGAGAAAGTGTTTCTTCAGGAAGCGGATCTATGCCAACATCACTGACATCCTTCAAAGCTGACTCCAGACGAATGTCACCGATGGCAAAGTTAAGGAGAAATGGAGAGATCGGGCAACACTGTTGGTTGGAAACAGTGATCCAAGCTGGTTGTATCCCCTCATTCTACCTGAGGTATGTTTCTATAGTGCTTTCAGGATGTTAACAAACTTCTCAGGTCCACGCCTCTCTAACAGATATTTCCAGAGCACAGTTTTGTCTAACGAATCGAAGGCCCACTTAGTGGCTTTCCCTCTATCAGCACAATTTATGTGAGTGTTCACAGCTGTTGATATAAGCTTTCTCGTATCCAAGTTGTACAGTGCACACACTGTATATGTTGGCTACCAATTAACAGTTTGTACAGTCGGTCACTGATTCCATTGTCTGGTTTATTGTTTATAAAAAGAAAACCTACTTATGCTAAAGAGATTATTCCTTATGATTGACTAAAGTCGACCTTTGTCTAGTTATTGACTATCACTTTCATCTATCTCATTTAATAATAATAGGAGAAAAATGTACAAGCTGTTAAACAAGCTAAGGAAGAACGTGTTCGAGAATTACGTAATGCTGTGGAATTAATGGTGGCTCGTTTGGATTCACAATTAAAAGCAAAATTAGTCACACTGATGATTCAGCGTAGTCGATTATTTCAGGTGAGTGAATTCAATTTGTCTCTGTAGACTTTTCTTCTTTTTTTTTGTTTCATTTCTTTGCATCCCAAGCAGAATATAGGCCGGTGTCTTCAAGTCTGAGCGTTGAAGTTTCACCAGCCGTGGTAGTGTTGTTCTATTCAAAGAATAGGGTTGCTAGCACCTACCTACACTCAACCTCCACTACACTGGGCTTTACCGGCAACTAAGCAAGGAATAGAAGTACCTCGGCAGGGAATCGAGCCTTGTGAGGCTGCCGGAGATTCGACCAATGAATCACTGACTCAGCTTTTTGTAAGCTAAAGCTTAATTATATTCATTCCGGGGTCGGTATGAAAATATGTGCTGACATGTAGCCATTGTGAATCGATTAGAGTAGATCACTATAGTGCGTCGGTGGTATAGCGGTTAGGACGCTCATCGCCGACCATGCACATGGTCCGGGGTTCGATCCCCGGCCACCGACGCACTCCTTTACCTCGCTCGCTAAGCCAGAAATAATGCTGGTGAAGAGGAAAGGTTGGGCATGAGGCTGGCTAGCAACCCCATCCTGTAAAAATCAACACCACTGCTACAGAAACTTCAAGCCACCAGGTTGAAGCCCTATGTTCCACTGGGGAACGTGAAGGAAAAGAAAACTATAGAATAATATGCCCATTCTTTAAATTATACATCAAATCTTGGATTCTTCAACTTCGATAAAGAATATATTCATCAGATTATAAGTGGGATAGCGTGACCAGTGATGTACAGTAGGTCGGGTGTGAGAAAAAAATACTCTCCACCGATGACACTGGCTAGTGGTCGCACTATATCGTGACAGAAGTTAGAATTCACGAGCTGGACATCGGATCAGCTTCCAGTGGCTGAATGGTCTACTAGCTCGCTCGCCTTTTAACCAGAATGTCCTAGGTTCAACCCCCTGTGGTGGGTGCTTACTGACGAGAAGTCCCAAACTAGGACGCAACGGCTGTACAGCACTCCCTGGTTTCCTAATGCTTCTCTAACCGATGTCAGCTCACGATGAAATCCTGTAAACAATCGAATCAGATAATTATTACAAATTAGTGTAACCACAAGCCTCTGAAGACAAAGTGACGACGATTGCTTTAGGAGTAAAACGGTTGCTTTATGCTGTCAGTTAGTACGTCGGTGGCACAACGAACCACCGACGTACTCCTTTACCTCTCCAGGTCGATAATAATAAGACTGGTAGAGAGGGAAGGGTGGGCATGAAGCTAGCAACCTCATCCCGTAAAAATTAAAAACACCACTGCTACCGAAACTTCAAGCGTCTAGTTCGAAGCCCTATGCTCCACTGGGAACGTAAAGGAATACAATTTTTAAAGAAAAATTAAAAATACTGTCAGTTATGCCTCGGTGACTGTAGCCGATAAGCTGAAATAAGCCATCATTGGAATTTAGTGAAATAAGCTGCACGGATGGTGCTACAGATGAAAAGGTTTACTGGACAACAGCAAATCTATTACTGAAACTCACTTATGCATCCAGTGTTACAATAGAAATCTGTTCATTTCTAGACATACTGCAAACTGTTAAGCTAAACACTAAGCTTAAACGAAATAGAATGCATTTTCTACAATCTCTCTAATTGAAATATTTCAACTGCTTTTTCTTTTCCAGGAAATAGAACTATTAGAAACTCTTTTACAAGATGTTCAATCTGAATTAGACGTTGCCACTCGATCTGAAATGATAACACGATCACCTGACATTTTGGCAATGTTCACTGAAGTACATTGTAAACCGATGGCTTCATTTGTAAGTGCTCCAGTACCAGCTGATTTTGTCAGGTGAGTATACATATATATGTGTATATATTTCTTTAAGCATTTACATAAAGATTCATTATGTATAGTTAATCCTGTTAAATTAATGATAGCTCATTGTCTTTAGTTCATGTAAAATCTTGAATTGAATGCTTAAAAAGCATTCACAATGTTTTTCTGCTTCTGAGATATTTTTTTGTGGATCTAATAAAGTCTGCTATATAATATATGTGTAGTCTTTCCTTTCTGCTTATTCTTTAATAGTAAAATGTCTAGTCCTTTGTTCGCTGCAGACTGAATTCTATCGGTAAAGTTTGCTAGGTAGCCACCGTAATAGGTGATTCACCATCCTGGTGCACTCTGAGTAAAAGAGAAACTGCCTAATTTCGCCTCCTACTCCATGTGTATATACCAATTTAACTGCTCCTGTGGAGTGAGCCAGTTACATAGGCCGTACAATTAGGCGTGTTTCTCGTCGGATTTCCGAACATCACCCTGCTTAGTGGTTAAGTAAAGGACAAACAAAGTCTATTCGCAGCGCTGTTCTATCTCATCTTGTGGATACAGAACACAAGATTGACGTTAACCATGCTTTCAGGGTGATTTACCGCATACCTACGAACCTCAATTTTGCCTTAAGAGTTCGACTACTAAACATTACTGAGGCTGGCTGTGGGGATCCATATTAATAAGCCTAATTTATGCATCCAAAAGAAGTTAGTTCAGTCATTATCATCATTACCTTGGCCACCCAGGTTTGAATGATCGTGAATTTTTGTGGAATTTTCCTAATTTCTGTCGACTATAACTATATATATATATATATATATATATATATATATATATATATATATATATATATAAATGGAATTAGTGTTGGCTATCAACAGAAGGTTGGGCATGAGGTTAGCGACCCCATCCTGTAAAAACAAACACTGCTACTGAAACTTCAAACCTCTAGCTTGAAGCCCTATGTTCCACTGGGAACGTGAAGGAATGATATAAACAGATGGTTACCTGATTATGGTTGTAGCAACCGATCACGATTACCGATTCACTGGTCTGGTTTTGCTAGAATACCCCATGTGATAGTACCTACCTGGTTGTCTTAAGCACCTTGATCTTGATTGTGCATTGAAATTGCCAACGAAGACTAGAACATGTGTGAGAGTTTAGATTGTTGTAGAAGACCAGATAGTCTTCGAAAGAAGTGATGCTCCGTGTCTTCCGAACTGAGGTGATTGGGTGCATGGGTATATGCTGCAAAGTGATGTCGGCATGTGTCAGAATCTTTCATACTTATCACAGAATAATTAAGTAGGATAGGTGACGGGTAACTATCGTGTGGTATTCAGTGGAACAGTGTGTTCTCTGTCCTGAGACTTAATGCTACTGAATGCATGATGGTGGTAACTACTGACCATCGGAAGGCTGGATGCTGGAAGGTGTGTATAGTGTAGACTGAGGACTTTGTTTACCTGAGGTGAAGTGTATGTTGACGCTTAATCTGTGTATACGTGTTCTACTAAGATGGAATGCGTGCATAGCTATGATGCTAGAGTTGAGATTATAGTGATACTTCTTGACCCTATTTGACGTGGTAGATGCAACGCTTAAAGCTGTGGTATGGAGTGTGAAGTGCGCTTTCAGGAGACCAAACAAGTTGATAAGTGTATGTTTGTGTGTATATATTATTGAAGACTAGGTTCTAACGTTGCATATAAGTGTTTCAGTTCAAGTTTACACACTTCGAAGTAGCACACAAACCCGAATTGGTCACAAACAGAATGCTCCTACAACTGGCTAGTATGAGTGTGAAATGAGAGAGCCTAATAGAGTGAAGGTCAACAGAAGTGTTCAGAGATCTGAAGGTGATGAAGAGTCTGTATATATGCGGTATGTCGAACTATTTTGAGGCATGTCAGGGAGTGTCTGCAATCACTGGTTTCGAAAATCGTGATGGTCTCAGTCGAGCAATCTACACCTTTTAACATGGCTCAGAGTAACAGTAAGATACATGATGGATTCGTGTCATCTTTTGAACTGACTATTCCTAACTATTTTCCAACCTGATCGTACATCAGCGACATTGTTCTCTTGGGTTGACAGTGCCTTGTCTTAGCTTGCGTTGTAACACATGTTCCATGGATCTCAGTTGGTGAACACTCCCGGATTCATCGACTGACTTGCTTTCGTTGCTTAACACTCCATCGTCTGTGTCTAATCTCACTAGTACTGACTGTATGGTTTCATCACACGCAAGAAATGCTACAAAGACAATTGCGATCAAAATCCTGTAAGCCTTTGTTGTATGCTGCTGCGTAGTGCACTCACTCTGTGATGTGTAGCCGGATATCTCATTGGTGGCATAGATGACACGAGTTGAGGAACATCGGACAGATCTTGTGTATCTGTACTGAGAATGTGTCACCAACCATTTAATTAGCGCTGATGATGATGCAGCTTCCGAGATAAGTAAACTTGTCAGTGCATTCGACCTCTCTCGACTGTATTTCCTTTAGCATTAATTTGTTCAGACCTGTTCTTTTGCATCACCATCATACGTTTGGCAGGAACGAATCACATGTCCACTGTGCTTCTATTTCCCTTGATGTTTTAATGGTCCAACGTCTTCCTTATAACATGACCGCCTGTAAGGCCAGTCGCTCAGAGGTTAGGGTTGAGCAGAGTCACCTGGATCAGCGTGTCTACAATGGAAATAATGAAGAGTGATTAGAGTGAGCGTTTATGTCAGTTGGACACCAGTGATTGTCGTCCCTTTGTATGACCGACAAGTGTCCGTCAGCTTTTACACGGCTGCGTGGTCTCACTTAGAGTATCTCAACTAGCATAACACAGTTTGTCGACACTTTGTTCACAGCGATAAATTGCCACATTACCTCTGAAACGATGAAGCTGAATTTGGCCTTCAGTTGGGAGCGTGTGACGAGTGTAGAAGGATAACGAGAATGTGTGTATTTCAAAGGTTGTTGAAAGGTGGAGATTGGATGAATACATCCTGGTTGTGTCGTGGATTTTTCTGGTGTTGTAGAATTTGTTGTTTGTTTTCTTGCCGATATCTGATCAGTCATCGAACGACTGTGTACCGTATAATTTAGTAGAGTGTGCTAGTCAAGCTGATTCGTCTGTGTTTATCACGAGATCGGTTCGTTTTTACTTGTGAGGTGGAATAGTCAGAGACGTTGACCAGTCTGAAATAACTACCTGTGACTTCAATACACCAGCTAGTGATCGTCCAGCTGATCTAGTCATTTCTTCCTGAGAATCAGCCTTAAACACTCGTGGAGTCAAAGCGTCAAACAGTGGTGCTCTGCCTCATCTACACCAACATTGAATCCATCCTGGGACTTGTCAACTTCCACGGTGTGGGCAGCCGGCTAGTAATAACCGCTCACACATTTCCAAGAGCACACGAAGCCATCCTGAGCATCATTCTCCTTTACCCATATCACTTTCATCATCTTATTCCTCTACTACAGTTGGTACTATTCTTCAGGCTAATGAGTCATCTTCACTTCACTCTGTGACCACAAACAATGATGAGAGCCATAGAAACACCCCCGATAACCTCTTAAAGCCACGTGTGAAGTGGTATAATAGCGTAAACAGTATTGACGTTAAGTGTCGAGTACTAGGTGAGGAGGCGAAATCCATAGACGAGGCTGTGGAGCCACATAGACTGAGATGGTTAGGACATGTGTTATGTATTCCCAGCCATCGCCTTCCTCGACTGGCAATGTTAGCTGACATAAAATGGATCAGGTTGGAAAATAACCATTGGTGGTGGTCAAAACAAAACATGGCTTTATCAGTCAATGAAGAAATCCACAACAGTTAGTTTAAGCCAGAGTAGAAAGTGTAGACTCCCGGTTGGGGCCCTCGGGAGGGTAATAACCAATGCAGACTGGAGACAATCAGTTATATGGCTCAAAGTGATCCCTCTCAATAGCTGGGGCAGATGCATCCACTCCTTGTGACTAATAATACCCAATGAAGCTACATTGTTCTTCCTTCTTACTATTCCTTTGTCTCATATCCCTGTTTACTGTCTCTATTATGCATTATTTTCTACTTTGTTCTCTTGCTTTGTGTGCTACAAGGAGGGAGTGTGGCTACTTGAACTGCTGCACATCTGTGCAAAGTTCTACGTTGAAACCAGTCAGTCAGTACTGGGACTGGATGGTGGGCAGTTGTAGTGTAACTGTGAGCCGGTTGAAGCTCTGTTCCGGTTGGTTTGTTTATGTTACTAAATGGCCTGTGGCTTGTACTTTTATGGAATCGTTGAGATATGTCGGCATTGCTTTTGTCTCTAGGATTTATTTATTGGTTTCTACGTGAGACCTTTTCTCGAGCTGTTGCTGTTCATGGTTCTTTTCTTTGTGGTGAATGTTCTCTTGGTAATCTTCGTGTGGATGAGTATCTTTTTGTGGAATTAGCTGGATGGCTGTCTATGAAATCGTACAAGTGTCAAATCGCAACACACTCGTACGTGTCAAACAGAGATCAGAATATCATTCAGCCTTCTAGGTCAGGTTTATTAACTTTTAAATGACTTTGGATCGTTACGACTATGAAACTTTTCTACAGATGTTGCAACCCTGTGAAGTGGAGAGGTGCATTCATCTACATAAGACATTCAACAACTATTTATTGGAGTTTTTATGTCAAGTGTTTGACAATGGAAAGCTCAAGTGAACGTTGAAGTTAGGTTGGGATGGAGACATGGCTGTCTACGAGGTTATGAAACACCCATCCAAGAGCTACAAGTGGAAGTCACCATTATTTAGATAAATCTAAGGGTAGTGGTCCATTTTACGTATCTTAAAAGCATAGTTTAAACTACAGGTGGTAAGGATGGGGATTTCATGGTGAACGACAGGATGGCACTTGGGAAGCAAGGGAGACATTCGTGTGTAGGCCCACAAATCTGAGCATGAAAACAGAGAAGTGAGTATTTTTAGAGTAATGTCGAGTCAGTGTTTCTGTATGGTTCAAGCAGACGT